TGGGAAGCCGAGTGGCGAGTCATTACATGCTGCCCGGCTTCCTTAATAGGACTTCCAATATCGGTATTGGTGAGTACTGAAAAAAAATTATTCGGTACTCATACTCAATACCGAAAAAACGATATCTGTGCATCCCTACTAGTAGGCATGTGGAAGTGGCAAGCAGGGCAGTCGGCTGCACGAGAAAAATAAAGCAGATCTAAACCCAAGAGGAAATGTAATATATTGCTGCTTAGCCTGTGGAGGCTGCATTCCTTTTCATTCTTCCGATTCTCCCCCCCCCCCCCCCCTTCCTTTGCTCTCACTCACTGTACTGGATCTTTGCAAAGTTGCACTAGGTTAGGACTACAGAACACCTCCTAACAAGCAGGACTGGAAAGAGTCCGCTATTCAGGCGTGGGGTTCGTACCGCTTTATAGCTGCATTAGACAGGTACACTTTATAAATCCTCCTAGAATGGGGTTTATGTCTTCTATGTTCTCCGGTAATCCCCCCGAGACCTTTGTGGTTACTTCTCCCAATAGTGATACAGAAAACCGGTCACAGCCCGAGCAATGCAAACCCAGCAGATCAGCACGGAATGTAGAAGCAGATTATACCCCGGGGGGGGGGGCATGCGCGCAACAGTCTGTCCATACACAGAGGAGGTAGACTGTATTCAAAGATCTGTATTCTGGAAGCAAATATTGGTCTTACTCTATGAAAGCATCTATCCATATATTACATTCAGAATGCATCCTATGACATCACCGAGAATGCAGCCTATCCATTCACTAGAGAGCGGTGACATCACTGAGAATGCAGTCTATCCCTTCACTAGAGACCGGTGACATCACTGAGAATGCAGCCTATCCATTCACTAGAGAGCGGTGACATCACTGAGAATGCAGCCTATCCCATCACTAGAGAGCGGTGACATCACTGAGAATGCAGCCTATCCCTTCACTAGAGAGCGGTGACATCACTGAGAATGCAGCCTATCCATTCACTAGAGACAGGTGACATCACTGAGAATGCAGCCTATCCATTTACTAGAGAGCGGTGACATCACTGAGAATGCAGCCTATCCCATCACAGAGCGGTGACATGCATGCCTGTAGCCAAGAGTAAAGACCAATCACCGTGCTACACTACAAAGGGGAAAGCTCCACAGGTCAGGAGCAGATACGTCTCTCCCACAGATTAACTGAAAACTACACAGACAGAGAATTGATGAAATATGAAAGGTCAGCTCTCATTAAACGGATACAGAAGACTAATAAATGTCTGCTGCGCACTATGTGATCTTGTTACCTTAAGTGCCCTTTACCTCTGTTCTGTCCTTCCCGGCTCTGCCGAACATTCACAGCATCTGCCAGTGAACTTCCCTGGATGGCAGCTCCGACGTGACTTAATGCAACGTCTGATTACAATGGGGGAGGAGTCACATGGCAGGTGAATTAAAAAAATAATTTATTGAAAAGGATAAAACACTGCATGTGAATGACTCGATCTTCCTGTGCTTTCACCCGCAGTTTTATTGGGTTGGTGACAGGGTCTCTTTAAAGCAGTGTAGGGGAAATATTTCTACAGTGGAACTTAAAATCCGGCGCCTCCAGATTCCCAGTTCAGCATCCTGAGGACCCTCAATAATGCAGTTTGCGCCCACGCTTGCCCGGCTACCGATCACCGAGATAGGTGGCACTGCTAACCAATAGAAACATTTCCAGGTGGCGGGTAGAAGGGTAAGCAATCCGGTCCCAAACTGCTCTACAGAAGGAGAGTGGCAGCATGTGGGCATCTTATAGCACTTCAAGCCACATCAAGCAAAGCTCATATTTAAAAAGGTGCCTTCCTCGCCTCCCAAAAAGGCTTCAATTTGCCCTCCTCACCTCCATTTAAGGCTTCAAGGTCCCTTTCTCGCCATCTTAAAAGGCTTCAAAGTGCCCTCCTTGCCTCCCGAAAAGGCTTCAAGGAGGCCTCCCAGCCTCACGAAAAAGCTTCAAGGAGCCCTACCCGCTTCACGAAAAAGCTTCAAAAAGGAGCCCGCCACTTGAAAAGGCTTCAAAGTGCTCTCCCAACCTCCCAAAAAGGCTTCAAGGTGTCCTCCCCGCCTTCCTAAAAAACTGCAGAAGATCAACGGTGGGGGGGCAAGAAAGAAATATATTCACCTTTCTCCAACTTCCATGGTGAAGGCGGTGACTTCATCCCCCTGTCAACAAGATCTCAGGGAATAGCCACTAGCCCAAAACTCAGCACAGTGCAGGATCATTTCCTCTTGGGCTACTCAAGATCCTGAGATCTGGCTGGAAGGAGGATGATGGCACCCTTCTGCCACAGTAGTAGATGGTCCGCTTTAAAGGTGCCCGCCATTTAAAGTAACTGGCACCACAGAAACGCCCGACAATGCATTGTTTTTCCTGGCCGTCAAGCTGACCCTATTGGTCTCGATACGTAAGCAAGCATTGCAGCCAAGATTTGAGAAATCTGTATGACTTGCCTGAGCTGCATGCTTGTTCCAGCTCAGGAAGGAGAGAGTGGGCCGGTATAACAACCAGGCAACAAGGCCTCTTTATTAAACTAAACTTATGCTTTTCTCTTAGAGAACTATGTGGTGAGTGCTTTTCACTCACCTCATAGTTCTAGCCGACCTGTGACAATGAGACTGTCACAGGTCAGCTCAGTAGATCGGGAAGTGAGCGAACACATACCGGCGTTCGCTCACCTATCCATCCTGTCACGGCTCTCTGCCGTGACAGGGGAGGGGCTGGATCCTCCCCTCCAATCCGCCAGCTCTGACTGGCGGAACGGACGGGGGAGGGTACAGCTGGCTCTGCCTCTAGATAGATTCCGGCACAATTGTCGGGATCCACTTCAGCTGCGGCGTCTCAGTATACCGCGAGTTGTAGCTCGCGGTATACTGAGCCTAGGGTGACGGGAAGACGCTAGTTTGTGTCCTCCCATTACCCTAAGGAGAACTATGGGGAAAAGCCCTAACCACATAGTTCTCCTTTCATTGCTCAGCCTCCTTATACTTCCACCCCTCCTTCACCAATCTTTCACTGCTGGGAAATTCCCGGTACCTATGTGTATGGAGAAACACGAGTCACTCCCCTACTACCATGTGAAACCAATTATGCTTGGTGATTGGCCCGGCCCAATCACATGGTGAGAATGCTCAGCCCTGTGACAGCTCTGAAGCTTGCACATGCAAACAGAGCAGCAGGGGAGAAAAAGAAAGAAAAATAGATTCAGACAAAGCACGGGTTCACTTTAAGACCGATCAAGGTCATGTACAATGAAAAAGTTCGACAAGTTATATATAGAAGTTCTAAATGATATCATTTCAAACACAAATATATAGATCACATTGAAAAGCCTCGGGATCACCTTCATGCACACAAAAGCCATCTTGGGCAATCTACAGAGATGTCACAATGAACACCCTACATCCTCTGTAGAACGTTCCTCCTGGCCTCTGTATAAACCCCTCACCCTGGAGGATGCCATCTTCGATTCCGTAACAGCTCCGCAGAGATAAGACCCGGGCGGCGGTAAAAGCTGCGAGGTACGGCAGAGTCAGAGCAGCAGAAGGCGACTCCAGAGGGAGTTATTGGCAGACATTGCAAAGTCAATGTACCGTATAACACCATTCCTGCAGTGTCAGGAGACAGATGTTCTACACACATTGTGATGCATCAGACCTTTGCCTAATGTCCCAACTGGAACCATTAAAGAAGAAGAGGTCCAGGGGAAGAAGGAAGATGGTTTACGATGAGATGTTGCTCAGCTACCTACACGTTTAACACTTTCTTCTTCATTTGTAACACAGAAGAGGTAACAGGATCAGACAACCTTTCCTGGAAGGAGGGGTGGCTACATCCTGGTCTTACAAGCACATCAAATCAGACACTCAAGGGCAATTAGGGCTACTGGTCAACAAGGCCCCCCCATCACTGAACAGGGGCATGTTGGTGAGAAGGCCGGATCCGAAATTTAGAGGGAGTTGAGCCCATAGACACACAAAGACAAACCAGGTTTTATGGGTTACACAAGGTTTTCTAGCCAACAAAGGCCACAGCAGACCACGTATAGTGCCATTTCTCTGCATTTTCAGTAAGTACAGAAAATACATGTTGACTTGACCAGACTTGCAGTGTGCTTGTCACTTAGGAGTTGAACTCAAACAGAAATTATCTTTGCCAAACTACTATATTACTTTGCCACCCAAACCCCATGTAAAAGAGGAGGAAGACATGTTTGTAGTCCAAAATCAGGAGTGCTGCCTACTGACAACCATGGCTCCCTGCATAGTTACATGATGATTGAGCATTCCCACACTAGGACAGGAAGTGTGTTAGGTGAAAATAGAAAGAACAAAGAAAACCAACCAACCGACCAACCAAACCACCTTGAAGGATATTCAAACCCAAGAACACCATAGTTAGTGTGATGATTGAGCTTTGCCCACTAGAACAAGATGTACGTCAGGTGAAAATAGAAAGAAGAAAACGAACGCAGCCATCTTAGCCAAGTCCTGCTAAGCTACAACATCTTACATTTTTGTTGGGTTTAGATATTCTTTTACTTGCAATTAACAAGAACGATTAAAAGAAGCGACTCACTTCAAAAACGGACCAGTGTTCTGAACTGGCTATGCAGATTTAAAGGTCAACCACCACTACGAGAAGGTAATGGTACTTGAAATACTAGCTTTAGATAATTCCCGCTGTCCAACCATCTTCTGTTCAACCAATAGTAGTTCCCTTTCCAAAATCCTGCCACCCCATAAGATGTCCGTCTATGAAGACACCCCAAATAAACTGGTAATTCCCCAACAGTCCTTGGCCACATTCCTTTACCACATAGTGGAACAGGGAGGTGGATTTCAACCACCACTGAAGCTTGGACCCCAAACCAAATGGTATAAACACACACACACACACACACACACACACACACGGGGGCCCTTTCAGTGAAAACCCTCCAAGTCCACACTGAAGAACAACGGATGGTCTCACCTTCCGACGAGGCGGTGATGTTGGTCGCTTTGAGGTTCAGGTTCGGTAGCGGTACCGCACAAATGTTCCTCCCCAGCTTCTGATTTAAAGGCAAATTGAAGGTGATTTCGTACTTGTGCAAAATCTTCAGAAAGCCGACCTGTAGGATCACAAGGAGAAAAGGCGTCAATAAAATCCCTTCCTTCTTTCTGGCCTGTGCAGAGGGACTAGTGGGCTTGCTGCAGCTGGCCTGCTTCTTCACCAAACACATAACATACATGTGAAAGTGACAATATATCGTGGAGATGCACGTTATTAATGCGAGTTAAAGATGAACTCCAACCTTTTTTTTTTTTATCCCACGCTTGTGGCCGGAGTTCCGATCCAAGTACTAGGGTGCAGGCCACAGCAGGGTGAATTGTTAGGTCAGTATCTACAAAGTGAGGTGAATTCCTGCCCTTGACAGTTGTAACGATACAGTTTCCCCAAATTTAGGCCCGGTTCCCACCTAGGCGTTTTTCCGCGCTTTCGTACTCGTGGAAAAACGCTCAAACAGGGAAATGCCATTATTTTCAATGTTCATTGGTTCCCATCTGGGTGTTTTTCCGCGAGTACAAACGCGCGGGAAACCGCCCTACGCCCAAAGAAGTACATGTACTTCTTTGGGGCGTTTTGGTCGGGCGTTTCCATTGGGAAACAGCCAACTAGCCCTTGGAAACGCGAGTTTACAGCGAATCGCAGTAAAAACACGCAACGCGAACCGCGCGACAAACACGCATATTCAATCCGCATAGGTGTGAACCCAGCCTTAAAGTTTTCCTTTTGTTTTTTCAAAGTTTTTTTTATTGATTTGTAAGGAAAACAAAAGTACGTAACAATTAGCAGTATACAAGTATAAAATCAGAAAAACCCGACCAATATCAAATAATAATCCAGGAAGACAGCCCTCAACCTCAATAAATATTGTTTTAAAAAAATAAAATAAAAGCCCAGATAATAAATAATAATAATAATAAGCAAAGCTACTGAGGCCTCAAGCACCAAGGAAAGGTCCACGGAAGTGCCATAAAGCAGAAGGAGCCAGTCCCAAACATAACAGAGTAAAGGTGGCCATACACTTTACAACCCTGGCAAGACTTGTCTTGCCAGGGTTGTAAAGTAATAAAAAAAAACGTACGATCTGCCCATCTTGGACAGGCAGATCGTACCTGCGATCATCGTAAACCCACCCCCTGAGGGGCGGGCTTCCGATGACTGCAATGCTGAACGGGCAGCACACCGGCCCGTTCGGCAGTCATCTCTCGATCATGTTAAAAAAAAACAGCCGAAAATCGTACGATTCTCGGCTGGTTTTCCAACATGCTCGATATACAAAAAAGTAGTGCGACCGCACATTAGAAACGGTCGCACACCTTCCATACACTGCATGATTATCGCACGAGAATCGTGCAGTGTATGGGCACCTTTAGAGAGTTAAAGTAACATGGCGCAACCATCCCCCCCCCACCCCCGAGGCGCAGGAATAGTGAGGTCAAAGGTTGGTAAAAAGCGGATTGAAGAACCAGTGCAGAAGAGAAAATGATAAGAAAAAAGGTTCCAAGGTTGTTGTCCTTCCACTTAAATGCAATCAAAAAGGTATATTAAGAAACATCTCGCAATCCTACATGTCATCTGTGGGTCCCAGACATCAGCAATTTGTTTGCGTTTATCCTGCAATAGGCACGTCAGTTTTACACGAGTCATTACCCAAGACAGTTTACACTTGAAATATGCGAAGGACACCTTGGCCGTCTTCCAGGCTTTGGCAACAGATAAACATAAAAGTAATCAATTTATCAGAGGCTTTCGTCACCGAGGGGATAGAGTGTCACTCGATAAATCAATGCAAATACTCTGATCCAGAATGGGCAAAGGGGAGGACAGAGCCGCCAAGTGCCATACATGGTGCCCGGGTCTGAGCAGCCTCCAAAACATAAACGGGGAAACATCCGGAAAAATGATCAACAGCGTGGTAGGGACAAGGTACCGGCGCCTGAAAACCTTGAAGTTTGCTCGCTTCTGCACAACTGCAGCGTCTCCTGGAAAGTATTGCCGTTCACTGGTGGATGGTCGTTATGTTCATACATAAAATGTATCAACAGCTGTGGCGGCTGCCGTCTCAGGCCTTCGCGGCATCACATGCCTCTATGATACCGCAGCAGCATTGGGACTATAGATACTAACAATATTGTCAAATTACAAAGCTGCCACTGTAAATGTCTACAAAATTTAAGGAAACAAAAAACAGAACAATTTATATTTAAAAAGGGAGAACAATGGGGTTAGGGCTTTTCCCCATAGTTCTCCTTAGGGTAACGGGGAGGACGCTAGTCCTCCCGTCACGCTAGGGCCAGTATACCGCGAGACGCCGCAGCGGATCCCGACAATTATGCCGGGATCCGCCCAGCTGCGTGACTGACAGCTGGCTCTGCCTATCTAGAGGCAAAGCCAGCTGTACCCGCCCCCTCCCGTTCCGCCAGTCAGCGCTGGCGGATCGGAGCGGGGAGGGGGGAATCCAGCCCCTCCCCTGTCACGGCAGAGAGCCGTGACAGGATCGAGAGGTGAGCGAACGGCGGTATGTGTTCTCTCACCTCCCGATCTACTGAGCCGACCTGTGACAGTCTCATTGTCACAGGTCGGCTAGAACTATGAGGTGAGTGAAAAGCACTCACCTCATAGTTCTCCTTTAAAGGTTTAACTATTTTATCCTCTGAAAATTTTCAAAAATTTGCACCACCCTAAAATCTCACATAGCTGCTCTACAATCAGTGTATGGAGGCCCAAAAATCAGATTAATGGGTAAACCTACAGCCTTTCATGCGTGAAAAGATCTCATTCTTTAAGGGCTTGTTCACACGACGTCCGGATTCTGTCCTGACCATATTCCGTACGCTCCTGCACTAAAAAATGCATCCCAATGTCTCCCTATGTGTTTTATGGGCTACAGTTCTCACGTGCGCAGTCCGTTCAGGTCCGGACAGAAAAAAAAACTGCATGTCACATTTTGTCTCGTCCGGAAACACACGAACGCATCAAAAACGCAACGAAAACGCGCTGCACTGCAGCTAATCAAAAAAAAAAAAAAAAAACTCCTGCGAGCTCGTTCTCTGCAGATTGCTGTAACCAGCACCAACACCATGCCTGCGACATGTCTGATCACCAGCTTTACATACACAAAAGGGAAGTGGTTGCTACGAGAGGGCGGAAGTGACCTCAGGAGGAGGAATCTGCACACTGACAGCACCACGGCTTAAAAAATAAAATATAAATGAACCGTCAGCGTCCGGACCGCGGTAAAAAAAAAAAAAAAAAAAACACGTAAAAAACGCACTGCATGCATAGCACCGCGTCTGCAGATCCGCACCGGCAAATCGTGTGAACAAGCCCCAAGTCAGCATGGAGTAGCGTGCTGAGCATTTCATGGGTTCGCATGCTTTTGTCACATGTTGTGTGACAATTGCTCCCATGAATCATTATTCATCCCTTGTACACTACTTCATGCTAAATAAAACAATGGAATGTTTCCCCCATCACACGCAGCGAGTCTGGTCTCCCATCTGTTTTTGTTTTGGCAAAGATATGCTCAGTCTGAATTTCCCAGCTTTATGACCGGTGTGGATCAATAAATAGGCCCCTATGGTGAATGTAAACACTTATTCTTGTCCCTGCAATACATCCCCTTTTTAATACAGGACAAGACCCTGCTAGCTTTGTTTACAGCAGCCTGGCACTGCAAACTACCTTTCAGTTTGTGGTCTACAATGACCCCCAAATCCTTCTCCATTTCTGACTTCCCTAGCGGCATACCCATAATTGTATAACCCATTTGTTTATTTTTAATTCCAAAGTGCATTACTTTGCATTTATCGACATTAAACCTCATCTGCCACATTAATGCCCACTCCCCCATCGTGGCTGATCTTATCCGCAGATAATATTCCAGTGGAAATTCTCCATCGTATGCGTCTGAAAACCTCCCACCGTCATCCTCTGCCAACGACCCTTCAACCCAACAAGCTCCAGATGGTCTCCAATAATGGACTTCCTGACACAAAGCCAACCATTCCAGCTCAAGAGACCCGAAGAGCGACCTCTAGCCTGGACCAATAAAGACAAATCAGAGCCTACACGGCCAGAAGAAAACCGTCCAATGCCAGCATATTGCGGAGCAAGCATGGACACATGAAACAGAACTTTCAGAACCAATCAGTGCAAACTAATACATAGCGGGGTCTCGAAAAGAGAGCCGATTGTTTACCAAAAAACATATTTTGGTTCAACAATTATTATTTATTAATATTATAAATGGTGACTACCTGCTGATGCCTAGAATGTGGCCGTGTGGTCCAGGGAGGCTTTATGCCTATGGTGATTTCAGATTGTATTAGGTTTAGGAAATTGATGTGGATGTGAAACCAATGGGCTTATACATTGGCCCTTTATCGGTATTTATTAAGTAAGTAAAATAAAAATGAATTTCTAAGAGTTATATGCGTAAGAATTATATGTTCTCCATGCTTAGAGTGGCACCTTAAAAGACCCACTTTCTCTGTTTTTTGCTTCAATTTAATTAAGGGGTGTGGTGTCCTGTTCCACCTGGTGGCTCAGAACCATATTTTGTGTAAATATTTTGGTTCAAAACACCCCCTTCTGTCTTTGGAAGCATTAATCCCGACACTTCCTTCCATTTATAAAGCTGCTCCTTGACATGGAAGGACAAAAATAACATTTCAACATTTTTCTTACTCAAAACAAATCTAGAAAAAAAATGTCACACTCTCCTAAACATGGGGCAATTTACTTCCTAGGAAGGGAAGCTGAAAAACCTATTTTTCTTCGTGGAGGAAATACAGAATTTCACCAACATCTGAACAGTAATTTTTTTTTTAAGCAAAAATAGAGAAAAAAAAAAATTCAAGTATGGTCAAGTATAGCAAATAGAAAAAATGTTCCAGCACAGGTTTCAGAGCGGAATGTAGGAAAGTTAATTTGATGTTTTTTTTTTTTGTTTTTTTTTAATCCTTTTTTCGTAGCCAAAGTAGGACTGGCTGTAAGTGGATCACCATGGCATAATTGGATTATAGACTAGTATAATCCTATCAGCCATAACATTAAGACCAC